GGGGTCAAACTTTAGGACTCTGAGTTAAAATTTTGGCTACTAAAAGGATAAGCTGTCATACTAGATTGATTTTTACACACGGACACACTGCTCTCTGGGTCCTACGTATGCTCTGGCAGTAGCTGGACTTAGCTTGTGGGTGAGAGCATTAGCAAATGCTGTACAGGCCCTGCCTGTATCTCCCAGCCCACTTCTTATTGCAAACACAGGCCATTCTTTGTCCAAGGGCTATTTTCCTGGCTGCGGGGTCCATACTCAGCCTGAGTAGGAATAGCCTCCAGCCACTGACAACTGGGAATTTGTGTATAAATAATGCAGCTCCCTCACGCCTCAAGTGGGATGACACTGAGGTATGTCTACACTGGTAACCAGAGTTTCCTATTAGGATTGAGCTCCAGTCATCTACTGTGGTAGCTAGCCTGACAACAAGCAAGCTTTGTTGGCTTTGTTGGCTGCCTTTCCTTCTCTGTCTCCATTCCCTGCTCATCTGCTGGTGCTTCCTGGGATCACATCCTAAATAAATCACTTGTACTCAAATCCTTTTCTCAGGCTGTGCTCCTGGGAGAAATGAACCAAGAGGAGAGCAACAGACTTGGGTTTGAATTTTGACTCTGGCCATTTGTTATGTGTGACATTGGGTGGGTCATTTAATCACTGTGAGAATCAGCTTCCTCTTAACAGTGGAGAGATAATGGAGAGAACTATGAATATGGGTTTTTGTTAAAAGTAAATGAGCTGATTATGTAAAGGACTTAACATAGTGTTTGGTATCAGTGAATGAAGAGTAAATGATAGGTATGGTCTCAGTAATTGTCCATTTTCACTATCCAGGAAGAACTAATCTATGGTGATAAAGAAGTCTGGTACCCGACTTTGAATTTAGTACCACTGAAAATGCACTTCTGAGTCCTTGGAGAGTTTCCCTGGAGAATAGCTTTTGCGTGTTCTGATTTTGTTCCCTTTCAGAATTTTCCTTCTGTTTGATCTCCTTTGATCCTTATTCTGATTTTGTGGGAAATTGAAAGAGAAATGAGGAATAGCTTCAAGTTAGTCATCAGGCTTGTTCAAATAGGATTCAAAGCTTACAATGATCTGAATAGGTTTAACTGTACCTTAGGTATATTCTACCTACGCACAATTCAAAAATTCAAGGGCCCAGAATTCTGATTTATACACAGTTGCTATAAATAGCAAAGGGTATCCTCTAGTACTGATTTATATAAAATAGGACCTCTTCTTCTCCAAAAGTCAGGGGAGTATCCTCAAGGTGTAAGCAGAGGACACAGGCAGAGGAGAGCCCAGGAGAGCAGAAGGAGAGTTGTATGAAATCTCATCATCCTGATGTTTAAGAACATTCTGGTTGGGTGGCCATTCTTAAGAACCTGTCTCGCAAGTTATTAGCTTCCGTCTGGGCTGGTTGCATGCCTCATACACACACAGGAAGGCAATTTAGTATCTTCTACATCTTCTTTACATTATCATTCCAATCTGCGTGGATGTGCATTAAGGATTAAAGCATCATCCTTTACTGAGCAATTTAGTGTTTTCCTGGGAATGGCAAAGCAGGAAAGACAGCCAGCTGCAACTGATGCCTTACATATTGTGACCTCACACAATTTCACTTCTCTCACCTCTCGAGGAAGAAGTCATTCAAAGGAACTTGGAGGTACCCCTGCTCTCAGAGTGGCTGTTTTCATGCTGCGAACACAATAGCTGGGAAAGTATGCCCATTTGCAAAAATAGTAAGCATGTCAGTGAGTGGGAACAAGGGGTTTGTGTGTCTGAGAATAAAAGTGTATTAGTTTCCTTTTGGGCTGGAAGAAATTAGCACAGACGTATGGCTCAAAGACAACACAGATTTGTTATCTTACAGTTCCGGAGACTAGAAATCTGAAATCGTCTCACTCGGCTCAAATCAGGGTGTGGGCAGGGCTGCTTTCCTTTCTGGAAACTCTAGGGGAGAATCCACTTCCTCGCCTTTTCCGGCTTTCAGAGGCTTCTGGCGTTCCTTGGTCTGTGAACTTGTCCACTTCAAAGCCAGCAGTGACCATCAGCATCTTTCTCACATGGCATCACTCTGACATTCACTCTCCTGCTTCCCTTTCCTACACTTAAGGACCCTGTGATTACACTGGACATAGGCGGACGCTCTCTTTATGTTAAAGTTCACTGTTGAGCAACCTGAATTCCATCTGCAACTTTAATTCTCTTTTATCACATAATGTAATATATTCACAGGCTATGGGGATTAGGACACAGACTTTTTTTTTTTTTTAAGTAGGCTCCATACGCAGCATTGGGCCCAATGTAGGGTTTGAACTCAGGATCCTGAGAACAAGACCTGAGCTGAGGTTCAGACACTTAACCAACTGAGCCACCCAGGCATCCCCAGGACATGGACATCTTTAAAGGCCATTATTCTACCTACAACAGAAAGTTAAGAGCAACAGCAACTCATACATAAGAGAATTTTCACTAGATGATGGAGTTTGGACCCTTGCTGCACAGTTAGTCGGAAGGGGTCCATTTACTTTATTCCTAGCTCACAGACAGCTCCAGGCTTCACCACTGAGCAGTTGTAGGATCTTGGACAAGTTGTTTAATACCTCAAAGCCCAGATCTCCTCATCTGTAAACTAGCACCTACCTCATGGGGTTGTCCATGAGATTAAATAAGTACCTAAGAGAAGGTCACTAGCTCAGCATCTGGCACAATGTAAATTCTCAGTAAGTGCTGGTTGCTGGTATAAAATAACCACAGCTAATATTTATTATAGAGATGTAAATGAGAACTATTCTCTGCGTTCTGGGAGTACAAAGGGAGGGCGTGAGGAATAAGTTACTGAATGTTTTGAGAGCTTTGTAAAATTGGAAGATAAAATGAAATTCTTGAATTAGAATTTCAGCAAAGGATTAAGGAATTAAAATTTTAGTTGAAAGTAATAGCAAACCTAAAAAAAATTGCAAGAAGTACTACAAAGAACACCCACATACCCCTTTACCCAAATTCATCTATTAACATTTTATTCCATCTACTTTATCACTCTATCATCTATCTATCATCTATCTATCTATCATCTATCATCACCCCTATAAAGCCTTCAAGGGAAAAGTAGAGAATGGTAGAATTTGGGTAGAATGGTAGAATTTGGGCTAAATTCCATATAATAACAAATGCAGGATAGAGAGGGTGTACAAGAACTGCTTTGGGGACAGCTAATCTTTCCAACCCATAAGCAGATGGTCTTTTCCAACTGATTCTGTTCAAAGCTTTTTAACTTAACTCACAGCTTGTATCTGTTTTCGCTGCCACTAGGCATAGGGGAGAGCTTACTAAATGCTTTGAGCCGATACAATTCATCCAGAGAACAGCACAGAATGAAGCAGAACTGTCCAAACACTTTTTGTTAATTCTTGAAGTACGTATATCTTAGCTAGTATACATATCTTAGTGGCTCTACCTTAACTGGCCAAGACCTTATTTTTCAGGCTCTTCTCCAGTAGTTTAGCCTCACGCTAGAGGTTTTGCAGCTCTTTATACACTCCAGATTATTCTATTGGAAATACCCTTTCCCTTATCTCTGATCAGAATTCTATTAACCCTTCAAAGTCTATGCAGATGCTATCAATTTCATGCAATCCCCAAAGTGAAATGACCTCTGCATTCTTATGCATCATCATAATGTTTTCTACTGTCCTTTAGTGGCACTGGCAATGAAAATGATGAGGATAATAATAATCTAATCACACAGCAGGTACAAGCAACTCAGAAGTTTCCATTGCCAGGCTTCATGCTAAGCAAGCACTTTATGTGCCTTCTCCAACATATGAATCAGGCATTGTAATTATCCTCATTTCTGGAATAGGTAAAGTGAGATCCAAGAAGGTTAAGTAATTTGCCAAGGATTGCATACTAATAAGCTATAGAACAAGGACACAAATGCTTGGGCCAAAGCCTACACTTTTTTCTTTAATACCAAAGATATTGTATGATAACAATTATATTTTAGGAAAATTTACTTACAAGGAAATTGACAGGTTTTAAATGTAAAACTCAATGAATTTTAATAAGAATGTACACATCAACCCAATCAAAATATCAAACATTCCTACCCCCCCAGAAAGTTCCTTTATTCCTCTTCTCACCAATTCCCTCCCTCACAATTATGGACAAGTATCGTTACGATTTCTAACATCATAGATTAGTTTTACCTAATGGTTTTTTTTTAATTTACTATAAACATACTCATATAGTATATACTGTTTGATGTCTGAATTTTTTCATTAAAAGTAATTTTTCTTGAGAGTAATCTATGCTGTATGTATTAGTAGTGTATTTCTTTTTTATCAGAGAGTCATATTCTATTATACGAATACAGCACAGATCTTTTCCATTCTTCTGTTGATAGAAATTTGGGTTGTTTCCAGTCTTGGCTATAACGACTAAAGCTGCTCTGGACATTCTTGTACAAACCTTTGGGTGGACAGACACTGGAAATTCCGAGATGAAGAATTTATGGGTCACAGTATAGGGACATATCTGCTTCTCTTACTAGATTGTAAGCATGTGCTGGGTGGGGATAGTGAAAGGAGACAATATTTTAAGGAAAAACATCACTTTTTACCCGACTATAACATAGAACTTAAGTCTTAAAACTTTCCTAAGGCAGAACTATAGAAAAGGAAGAGTTATAACGCTTCTGATAATTAAGCATCAGTCTCCTAAGAGATCGGTCATGTCTTCAGAGGCTGCATTGCAAGACCACTAATAATGGTGACATTAATGTGTTTGGGTTCCACTTAGCAATCTCGGTGTTTAAAGCACTTCAACCATTTGTTTCAGGTCAGCAGAGGTTAACAAGCCAGTAGTGAATATAAACATAATTGTGTTTCATTAGGGCTAAATTCCCAGTTGGAAGAGCAGGACAAAGCCCCATCAAAAATCTTTACTTTCTTCTAGAAGCAAGCAATACATGTTGGGATAAATTCATTGACACTCACTGTTGTGTTTGAAGATCCTTATGGTTGCACCTGAGAGTCGGGCCCCAAGTACAAGAGATGCATGGTTTAACTCATCACTTAAAATGAGGCATCCCTGTTCGGAAAACAAGCACACAAAACACAGGCCAATAAATAAAATTAAAGAAAAACAACACGTGGGAACAGAAAGACACTTCAAGACCTGTATCACACATCCCCCAAACCCTCTTTAATTTTAAAAGAACAAGTTTTGCCTGATGTCTATGTGGATAAAATCCTGTAGACAATTAGCTGATAAAGATGGGGATTATTTTAAGGGATTACGTCTTTAACCATTTGCATTTGATTTTCATCAGAAAAGATCCTTCAAGACCTTGTTTAAATGTCAGCTACCATTTTCTAAAGAATTGATCTTTGACAGGAAAGTGAATATACTTTGGGTAGGTTGTGGTTTGCTGGGGTTCTTCAATCCTGTGGTGTATTATTTGGGACAGTTTCAGTGTTCTCCCTCTGGAGGGCAGGGGTCTTTTCTGCAGGGCCTTTCAAGCTCTTGTTTTCCTATTCTCATTCTCCTTTGTATTGACATCCTTGTAGACAAAAACATCACTGCTTTCCAGCTAAAAACTTCGCATTTGGAAAAGTGTGGATGGCAATTCAGTCTGAGGGGAGTGAAAAAGATCAATCAAATTTACTGCTTATAAATTACAGTTGTGAAATTAGTTTTCTTTTTTAATTTAAAAATTTCTAAATTATAAAATTGCTCAAGTGTACCAAAAATGCAGAGACAAATGATGGTGGCCATTTGTGGCCACCCAGAATCTTTGAGTTCTTGCTCATATTTTGGAAACTTCACACATGACATGTTTTAAGTTTTGGGGGCAAGAGCCAGCAATATTCTCATAACTCCATACTCTAGATGTGTGTGTGTGTATTTATATATATATTTTTAGGGATACCTTATGATACCTCACCCCCAAATTCTTCATCATGTATTTACTGAGAACAAGGAAATTCTCTGGCTAAATCACAATGCAATGATCATACCCCAAAAATCCAACATTCATATAGTGCTATCACCTAAGATAGAGCCTGAATTCATATTTCTCCAACTGTCCTAATGATATCAGTGTCTAATAGATGTTTTATTTCCTTCTATTTTTTCAGTGCAGAATCCAGTAAAAGATCATATATTGCATTTGTCATGAATCAGATTTTTTTAAACCTAAATCTGATTATGACACTTGCTTACTTAAACTGAGCCAACCAAATTCCCCATTTTCCTCAGAAAGAATTTCCAATACTCAAGCATGACTACAAGGTTCTTTGCAATGTGCCTTCATCTCTAGTCTGGTTCACATCTACTACCTTATATTTTAGTTCTTCCAAAGCTCAGGACTTTATGCATGCTGCTCCCTCTTCCTTATCTTAAAGAAAAAATTTAACAGACAAGTAACAGATTCAGTTTTTCTTTTTTTATTATTATTATGTTATGTTAATCACCATACATAACATCATTAGTTTTTGATGTAGTGTTCCATGATTCATTGTTTGCGTATAACACCCAGTGCTCCGTGGAGAACGTGCCCTCTTTAATACCCATCACCAGGCTAACCAATTCCCCCAACCCCCTCCCCTCTAGAACCCTCAGTTTGTTTCTCAGAGTCCATAGTCTC